CCTAATGTTTTAAATAGTTACTTACCTGTTTTTTTTTCCTTTAAGATGTGAATTCCTTGTATTAGGGGTCTGTCTCATTCAGTAGAAGATTTAAAACAGTGCTATCTGGTGCTGTTAACTTAAATAATAAAAAATAGTGCAGCAATTATCTCAGTTTTTTCATCTTCCTTTGATTATATTGGATATCATGGGCCAGGAATTTTTTTTTTTTTTTTCAACATTTATTTATTTTTGGGACAGAGAGAGACAGAGCATGAACGGGGGAGGGGCAGAGAGAGAGGGAGACACAGAATCGGAAACAGGCTCCAGGCTCTGAGCCATCAGCCCAGAGCCTGACACGGGGCTCGAACTCACGGACCGCGAGATCGTGACCTGGCTGAAGTCGGACGCTTAACCGACTGCGCCACCCAGGCGCCCCAGGAATTTTTTTTTTAACGTTTATTCATTTTCAAGAGACAGAGCGCACGAGTGGGGGAGGGGCAGAGAGAGGGGGCTCGAACTCACGAACTGTAAGATCATGACTTGAGCCTAAGTCGGACACTTAACCGACTGAGCCACCCAGGCGCCCTAATGAATTTTTTTTTTTTTACATTTTTTTTAAGTAGGCTCCATACCCAACGTGGGACTTGAACTCACCACTGTGAGATCAAGAGTCTTGTGCTATACTGACTGAGCCAGCTAGGCACCTCATGGGCCAGTTCTCTTTCCTTAGACTGTAAAGTACAGTGAATGTTCAAGAATGGCAAAACCCATAATCCTACTTCTTGCCTAAGTTTACTCCTTCCTCCCCTCCGTAATGCTTACTTAATTCTTGTTTGGTTATTCCAATGTTAAGACAAGCTTCTAGCAGTCTCTCCAGAAGCCTGGAAAGGGTAGGGTGAGGGGAGTGTACTTAGCAACTGAATGAGATCTCTAGACATTAGTCTGAATCATCTCACCAGTAGGGGGAGAAATCGACAGTAATCCTCTCCTCACTACCTTCACATGGGAAATCATTCTGCTCCCCTAAATATCCATAATAATAAGATTATCTACATTTTATTTTAAACTTCACTCTGAATAACACTATAAAGTAGATTCTGTTAATGTTCTTTATTAGATGTTGAAGTGAGACCGAGATTAAGTAACTTGCTCAAGGTCACGGTTAGGTTTGTTAGTGCAGAAACTGGATTAGAACACAGGCAATTTGGCTACAAAGCCTACATTCTCAATCACTGTGCTATTATTGTATTTCTCCTAGGTAAAAATGTCTGAAGATTATTATTCTTATTTTATAAGTGCAAAGACATTTAGGCCCAGGGCATTTAAGTAGCTTGCCCAAGGACACAACTAATAAATAATGGAATCAGAATTTGAATTCCAGGTAGGCTGACCTCCTGAGGCCTTAATTTTAGCTGTCATCCTGTATCATTGGTTTATATCCTGTCAACTTCTGCATTTTAAGTTGCTCGACTTCTACACCTTAATGCCTCTTGTGTTTTTGGATTAAAGTAAGTGTATATATATATACACACACACTGTTAATATATACACATGAATCCCCTGTTGTCTTTATAATTTTACCACTCTATTCCAGAGTCTTGTGACATAATAGAATTAATTTCATTGAAATTGTTTACAAGTGGGAGAAAGTAGAAGGAAACTCTGTGTGTGTGTGTGTGTGTGTGTGTGTGTGTGTGTGTGTGTGTGTGTGTAAACATAGTCTCTGCCTTCAAAGAGCTTGTTCTCTGGCTGGGAAAGACCTAAGTACGGAAGTTGACCTAGAACAAGAAATAGGATGTACCTGCTTAAGTCTATGTAGCTGAACTTACACATTGAATACTTTGGAACGAGTTAAAATTGTCTGTATAAGAAGAGATTTTGTTTGGGGTGCAAAAAAACCCTGAAGACAGAATATAGGATATTGTCACCACACTGATTTAATTTTTACATATTTCATATATCAAGATGATATTTTTGAGTTAGTCATGTGGAGATAGTTAACATCATTTTGTATGCAAAAATATTTGCTTGTCTTTAATTTGGCTTAAAACCATTTTGCTTACTTTAAAATACAACTCTGCAGATTGTTAGCATATTTCAGTATTTTGGTACAATTATGTTAGGATTACAGGTTCCTTAATAGATTGATATTTAATGGTTTTTGTTCTTAAATTCTGGCATTTCTTATATTATCCATATCATGTGGATTTTTTTTTTCTTTTTGTGTTTTGGTAAGTAAATTAGCTTAAACACATGAGGTAACACTAGCCCTGAAATACCCATTTAAAAATAACTTGTTTAGGAGTATTATGACAATAAATAGTATATTCTTTGTTACCTTAACTTTTCATAGCCATTATAGGTTACCTGTTTTTTAAGATTACTTTGACAATCTAGTATAGGTTGCGAAGATCTTGAGAGAGTAGTGGGGTGGGGGTGTGTGCACAAGTGCGTACACTCAGTGGAAGCAGACTAGATTAGAAAGAGCATGTGTTTGTTGGAATTAGACACAAGTTTAGTAATTTGTATGACTGGATAAAATACTTAATTTTTGAGTCAGTTTTTTCCCTCTATTATATGGAAACATAGCAAGGTTATTGCGAGTTTTAAATGAAAATGTACAACACTTATTAGCACATCGTAAATGTTCAAAAATAGCTATTATGTTCCTTAATTTAAAAAAAATGCTAGTTGATAGGAGAAAGAACAAAAATTGAAGGGAAACCATAGTATTTGTAATTTTTCTGTTAGAAAATAACTCTCATGCTTAATAAATAGAGAAAGAAGGGAAAGCTTACAATAGATTGGTTGTTTTTGACACTTCCTTGTAGCTTTGGGGAAATTAATTTTATAGAGGAAGGAACATCTGACTTTTTTATGTTACCTTGTGCCTTTTTGACATAGAGAAAATGAATACTTAGGGCATTAAACAATAGTTTTATGCCGCTATTTAACGGATTTAAGGCTTTATTCCATTTCCAGATGGGAAGGTGGAATTACTTAATTTCTTCAGTGAAATTCAGATGATCCACAGAAGCTTAGAGCTAGGATTTTTACATTATGAAATTTTTGTTTTTTTCCTTTAAAATATGACATGATTGATTAAATTCAACAACAGAAATTGTAAGTCTTAAATTTCTTTGCTTAAACTTTTTTGCATTTTTGAAAATAAATGCATCTGGTACATTAAAAATGATCTTGGTAAAAAAATAAAATCTTAGATTTGTGTTTTTCTGTTATCATAAAATATTTCTCCATCTCTTTTATGGGTCCACTGCAGACATTCTTATTGCAGTTGTCATTTATAGGGTTAAACATTTGCTATATTGTAACATACGAAAGCACTTAAGCTGTTTGGAATTGTTTACTTGCTAAAACCAGTGTTAGTCAGCAGAGGCAGTACACCAGATTTCCTTGTGGCTTTTAGTGGAAAATGTTAAAAGCGCACTCATTTTTCAGTTATAGAATTTTTCAGTTTGATCTGGATTAGTCACAGAACTGGCATGAACCTTCTAATTGTGAAGGCTGTCCAAATGCACTATTTTTTTCTCCTGCTAGAGGAAGTTACATCCCCGAGCAGTAGCTCAGATCTCTGGTAAGTGTAACATGTGAGCATTACTAGGCATTTCATCCTGCGGTTCTGCAGTCTTTGCTATTCAGACTGTTGCTCAGTTGGAATGCTTCTGTGGGGCCGATCCTGAGGTTCTGTAGATATTTTTTAAGGACCTACCTATTTGGAGGTATCAGTGGCCGTTTTGCAAGATCATCTGGGGAACAGGAAAGCGTCTGAAATCTGAAAAGGATAACTGTAGCGGTTTTCACAGTGGAAGGAAACTATATTGGCACAGAACAGATGATTGAATAAAGTAGTTGGCTCAAAGAAGATGCACAGTCTGCTGTTTTTTCCTGTGAATGAAGACTATTTAATGGAAGCTGTATTCATGTGGAGATCAAAGGAAACACTGGAATGATAAACTACTGGGCTTTTCTCTCTCTTTTTTTAAATGAAAAGCCTGAAGCAGTAATTTGAGCTCAAATGCCTTCTAATTCCTTCGCAGCCTGCCTGTTCCGTTAGGATCCTCTGCTAACACTATTTCTGCCTGGTGCTGTGCCCTTTTGCTGGAGCAGCCACAGACAACTGCCTGATGGAGAAAGAATGAACGCTCTGCCTTGCTTATGCTATCGATGGGAATAAAGCTATCTGTGTTTCTTCTTTATATGGGATATCTGGATTAATCAAGCTGTATTCTAGTACCAAGAGTCCTATTGTCTCTTGGGGTCTGACTCATCGCATGTAAATGTACTGCAGCTTTGCTATTAATGCAGAGTGTTGTTGTTTTTTTTCTTTCCCAAACACAGAAAGAATTGTCAACCTCTGAGCTTCATTTTAAGAATTTATGCTGAGCTCTAGATATTTTTTTTTCCTCTGGATAGTATCTGCTTTAAACCAGAAGCTGAAGAGATGAAGACAAATTAGAAGTGGAAACAGAATAGTGAGATTTTTTTTTTTTTTTCCAATTATAAGCAAGTCAGCTACTGGTAACTATATGACCTTGCAGGCAAGAGTGGGTATAGCTGTAATCCTCTCTGTCACAGTAGTTGTTTCTCATTTCATTCTGTATTGTGTGGTGTTGTCACCCCAAACAATAATCTTTTTATGCAAGTAAATTTCTGTGAGACAGAGAGCAATATGATTATTTTGGAAAGGGAAAAATATTTTTAGATGAGCTTGTACTGGACTCCGTTTTAGTTAGTGACATGTTGATATGAAATTTCTTTTAAGTATTACAGTAACCCAACAGAAAATAACAGAATTTTTTTGTTTTTAGGAAGTTATGTTATGTAGTCATAATTTTAAACTTCAGTTTTTCTGATAGTACTTACTAACTTTAAAAAACCAGCTGCGCTGTTCAGAGAATGATCCTAAGTGTTGTACAGAAGAGGAGGAAAAACTATTTGTGCTCTTCCAACTGTGACTTTTATCACATAGCTTGGAATTTAGTGTTTTAAAAGAGCGAATGAGTCGAGTGTGTATTGTTGTTTTGGAGGAGGTAGAAGATGAATCTCCTGCATTCATTTCTAAATTGCCACAGGAAAATAAATCCCTACATTCACCACCACCTTCTGGAAGTGTATTGGTAAGATATGAGAGTTTATGTTTATTATCTTCTACTGAACTAATGGGGTAAATTTTATCTTTTAAGAATAAACATAAGGTGGCTTCCACTAGTTTTATTAAAAACCCAAATAAAAGCAGTATAGGTATGTAAATATGATGCAGTATTACTTGTGTATAAAATAGACACAGTTTTGGTTTTTACTTCTTCAGACGTTTAGCTAACATTCTCAGACTTTCCTTACTATGTATTACTCTCTTACAAAGACTTTTTAAAAAATAATTTGAGAATTGTAGTTCTGGCAACCACGTTTCTGTTTTCATTTTGTGGTTTTAAAAAATGTTGTAATGAGAATGAGGAACTGTATGTTTTAGGAAAGGTTTACTACTGCTAGCAACACCGAGGCACAACCTTTTCTGTAATGAATTTTATGTATTTACATGCAGCACTTTTATATGAAAAAGAATCAGACTTCCTTAACCTTATTTTTAATGCTGTTGTCAATTGGTTTGTTTGACTAGTATAATATGATACCTTATCAAAGAGACTGTTGTTGATTAAGAAATTGTTATATTTAGACATGCACGTGTTTGCCTCTTCGTGTTATTCAGGTGTATGCTATTTTTTGGTCTTTGAATAGTAGTGATTTTCATCAATTGCCAGATTTTCTTTCTTTGGATTTAAATCTGTATAACAGGTAATGCTAACCCGTGCAAGTTATTGAATGCCCCAAACAGAACTTTTCAAAAAGGCCTGCCTTCATGGGCATCATTGTGGCCTGGCAATGGCTTGTTTGACAACTTATGTCCCACAAGTAGATGTTGAGATGTCACACTTGTATTTGGAAGAGACTTTGTTTTTACCATATATATAAACAAAAGGCTTCTACTCAGGTTTGATTGTGTTTATTGTACTACCTAATTTTGGCCATACTGAATTGATTTTTTTTTTTTTTAATTAGGCCTTTTTTATTCAAGGAGGAATCCTGTACTTTCATACAATTTGACTCAATAAAAGTATTGGTTAATGTCAAAAACAAATTGATTATTGTTGCTAAAGAGAAGAAAAATTTCAGGTTTAAAAATTATGTGGAAATATCTTTAGAATTATCCATGCAGTGTGATTAATATTTTTATTACTCTCTTGTATTTTAGCCATCACTGGTGCAAGCTATATTTAATGGAGATCCTGATGAAGTTCGAGCACTAATATTTAAGAAAGAAGATGTTAACTTTCAGGTAAAACAATTCACTGATACTGGCCTTTAAATCTACTTATAAAAACTCTTTTCTAGAATTATGATTTTGTTAAAAAAGACGTAACAGTTTTGTAACAGTTGTTTTAAATGAGGGCAGAGGGTCTTGAAGTAATTGCCTCAAAAGAAGGAGACTGGGTGTATATTCAGGGTAAAAACTAACACAAGAGGACTAGGAACCAGTGAGGGTCCTTTGTTTCCACAGCTTTTTACTTGGGAATATTTTACAGAAAAGTTGAAACAATATTCTGAATACCCACATACACTCCACGTAGATCCAGCAGTGAGAACATTTTGCCACATTTGCTTTCCTTCTCATATTTACACATATTTTATATATAGACACATACGGTTTTTTGTTTTGCTGAATCCATTTGAAAGTAAGTTGTAGACATCGTGACATTTGACTGTTAAATACTTGTATGCATTTTAGATGAGGGTTCTTTTTTGTGAACTCTAAAAGACATTTCTATTAAGTTTATAATATATCTGATTTGATTATGAGATCGAATTTGTTTTCTGTAAATAAGTGTGGTAAGCATTATACAGAGATTCATTTGTTTGAACCTCTCAGTAAAGAAAGACATATTGTTTGAAAAGTCTCCAAACTGAAAGACGTAGTGGATTTGACATTCAGGATTGACAGGAGAGACAGTTTTATACAGATTGGACATATGGATAATTTTCTGTTTCTCTAGTGGCCAGTAGTTTCTTTAATTTACTGAATTGAGGCTAAAGATATATAATTTACTATAGTAAGATCTAATTCATTAATGTGTATATTTTTACAGGAAACATGTTGACAGTACATTCTTCATACATAATTCAGTCCTCTGAATTATTGTGGTGAGGGGGTCATGATTCATAAAGTTGCCATAGCAACACCAAACCAGATGACCTAAAATGATTGGTAGTTCTGCAAAAGCCTGCAAGGTCATCTCAAGCTCTCATCTTTCTTTCATTCTTTCATACAGTACTACTGTGATAATGTTAAGTAGATATAAAAAGTATTAATCTTTTAAAAGTTGGATTATCCAAATAAATTTAATCTTTAGCTAAAATGGTTCATTCTAACATTAGAGTGATCAAAATGCTATTACTACATTTTTTTTAAACCTTCCTAAATGAATTGCCTTTAAATTTATATTTATTGGAAACATGCACCTAATTCAGGATATATTTATTTATTTTAAATGGAGTGCCTTGTTACTTTACCTAATTGGGGTGTTCTGAAGAGTCTATTTTTTTCTTAGGACAGAAAATAGTTACAGGGGTATAGAGTTAATGAAAAGGAAAAAAATGGCTTTCTGTTCTGTTGAACTCTAGTTTTTTGGGTTTGTTTGCTAGTTTTCTTAATAGTACTAACAAATCTTACCTTGGTGAGAAAGTTTGGACTATAATGCTACTTACCATGATTAATTTCCCTGTCATTATGAAGTCTCATAGCCAACACTGTTTTCTGCTGTATTGATCAAATTATTTTAAATTTTTAAAAATTACTCAGAATCATCTTGAGCATAAGTTTATTCTACTGTAATGTTCTTGGAAACTATTGTGTATGTGTCATTAGTGTGTCACCCCCAAACATTTATGATTTTTAGCCTCTACTTATAGATTCCTTTCTTTACTTGCTTTTAACCACCACTTCTTTTTTTTTTTTTCAATATATGAAATTTATTGTCAAATTGGTTTCCATACAACACCCAGTGCTCATCCCAAAAGGTGCCCTCCTCAATACCCATCACCCACCCTCCCCTCCCTCCCACCCCCCATCAACCCCTCAGTTTGTTCTCAGTTTTTAAGAGTCTCTTAATGCTTTGGCTCTCTCCACTCTAACCTTTTTTTTTTTTTTTTCCCTTCCCCTCCCCCATGGGTTTCTGTTAAGTTTCACAGGATCCACATGAGAGTGAAAACATATGGTATCTGTCTTTCTCTGTATGGCTTATTTCACTTAGCATCACACTCTCCAGTTCCATCCACATTGCTACAAAGGGCCATCTCATTGCCCTGTAGTACTCCATTGTGTATATAAACCACAATTTCTTTATCCATTCATCAGTTGATGGACATTTAGGCTCTTTCCATAATAACCACCATTTCTTAACATCTCCTAGCTGGTGCCCTTACTGTGACTTAGGGCAGAACTAAAAGGTTAGTACTTCAAATCAGTAGGCTTTTCTTGAGGGTGGGTGACTTCAGTAGTCTTCAGTGATTCATGGGTTTTTGACAAGTTATTCTACAGCTGCTTTTACGTCTTTTCTCATGTGACTCTTAGTAGTTGAGAGTATTGTCATAATTTTACAATTTGTTAAATCTGTGATCTGAGTTAAATCTGTGATTGTTGATAGGTAATAAAGTATGTTTAAGCTTTATGTCAGTGTGACAGTGGTGTTTTTTTAAAAATAATTTTATTTAAATAAGTAATTGAGAATAATATCTCTTTGAAACTTACAGTTTTTGAAGTTGTTTTTATCAGTTTTTAGAATGGGTATACAAATTCAGATTTGTTTCTGTACTGTTAAATGAACATTGTATTTTTTTAGATTTATTTTAGTTTCTTCAGTCATGTCCTGAAGTTTTGGATACTGTGAATCACCAAATAGCATTTTTCTTAGTAACATACCTAAATTGATTTTTAACAAAACTCTTAATTTAAAATACATGTGTATTATTTGGTTGAGAAGGAAGTCTTCTGTTGTAGAGGCTTAGGTAAGATGATTTCACTAGAAAATGCTGGAGTTCTGGTGGCTCAGTTGCTTAAACGTCTAGCTCTTGATTTTGGCTCAGATCATGATCTAACGGTTCCTGAGTTTGGGTCCTGTATTGGACTCTGCACTAGCACTGTAGAGCCTGCTTGGGATTCTCTCTCCCTGCTTCTCCCCTGCTCATGCGTGTGCGCTCTCTTCTCTCTCTCTCTCTCTCTCTGTCTCTCTCAAATAAATTTTTAAAAATGTTGGAGTTTCATATTTGGAGGCTTTGGGCCACAAGTAATTGAGTGCCTAACTAAATACAGGTTTATTGCTTTTATAATAATTTACTCTAGAGCAAGGCAGTTTGGTTGGTTAAGATCGTACTGTCAGAACTCTGGGTGAGTGGCTCTGTGAGGCTTTCAGCTTTCTTCTCCTAGTAGAGATGACTGATGCATTTTGTGCTTATGACACACAGCCAAAGAAATGGAAAGGGGACTCTCCCTGTAAGTTTCCTTTTTCTTTGTATTTTTAATCAAGCAAAACTATCTTTTTCCAAATCCCCTCCAAACTCCCCCTGAGATTGGATTGGTTACTGGCTTACTCTAAACCAATCCACCAGCAAAGGTAGAATGGGATTAGCGTTTTGCTTAGATTAGTCATTGTTTTTCACCTGGTTCATCCCCTGGGACAAGAATAGAGGCTTATCATCACTGGTTATATTACCATTCCATATGTGGAGAAAATTTGCATTTTCATAGGAAGGCATAAAGAGGAAATAGTTGTTTGGGTAGTAACCTAATAGAAGATTTTTGATTGCCTAGAAGCAGTTGAAGTAGCAAACTTTTAGAAAAATAAGTTACCTGGTTATGGAAGAAACACTGTTAACCAAAAAGGTGATACTGTCAAAAATTTATGAAAGCAGAGTGGTATGTATATATAGTGTAAAGAACAATTGGAATTTAAGTTATTAGACCTAAGTACTCCTGTTTTCTTACCTTATTGCCTATATATACTACTTGAGCAAATCCATTTAAGTTCTTTGAGGCTCTCTTTTGTTACAAAATGTGTGGATTACAATAATGGCTTTCAGGGTGTTTGCCACTCCAAATTTAAGATGCTCTAAGGTGTGCCTGGGTGGCTCAGTAGATTAAGGGGTTAAGCATCCAACTTGGGCTCAGAACTCAGGTCATGATCTTACATTCATGAATTTGAGCTCCACATCAGGCTGTCTGTTAGCACAGAGCCTGCTTTGGAGCCTCTCTCTGCCCCCTCCCCTGCACGCCTCTCAAAATTAAATCAGATAAACATTTAAAAAAAATTTTTTAAGATGGTCTGAAAATTCTGAATGACCTTGAATGACCTCCTGCTTTTGCCCAGAAGGTTTCATTTGTATTTCTAAATATATGTAGCCAAAATAATAATTATTATTTCCTTTCCCGAGGATTTAGTAAAACTTAATGCCCTATTGTAGAGTCCAAATAATTTAGTCTAAAATATCAATAACATATTTCAGAGGAAAGGTCTGACTTTGTCAGAAAATTATTTCTACACAAAGAAATTGTTTTCCTGTGTCCAGAGTGATAGAAATTGGTGTTAATTATAGAATTTTATTTCAGAGACAGTGATATGCCTAAATCTTTTTATGTTATGATTCAGTTCATACAACAATCTTGTAATGTTGGTAGGTTAGCATTTCCATTCCACTAATAGATAACAAAACTACAATTCAGAAAGGTTAAATATCTCCAGGACCAGTAAGTATAGCAGGAACAGGAATTTGAACCCATGTCAGACTTGATAGTAACTGGGAAAATAAAGTAAATTGGAGAGAGCGAAATAGTTTTTTTCTTTTGTCAAATAGTGCCATAAAACAGTAATGGTTCAGAAGGGGATATTCCCCCCAAAAGTTAGGTTGATTCTATGGACTCCTATCTTTTAAACTGTAATTCAAGTGGATTCCTAATTTTCATGATACCAAGTGCTGTTAATGTTAGCATTGCAAATGAGTGACTACATAAGCCTCCCTGATGTCTTAATTTTTGGCTGGATAAAAATGTCATTCAAGATAATAGCAAACTAGAGGTAATTATAATTTAGCCAATGCTGTTCTCAGTATTCAAAACAGGAATGCTTAGATTATGAGTGACCCTTTTTAAACACAAAAGAGTTGATTTAAGAGCTAGTCAATAAGTAGATCTTCCCTGTATCTACCATATAACTTAGTATTTTTGAAAATGCTATCTTGGATATTTTATTAGCTTCTGAATTTAGCTTTGTCATTCAAAGTATTTTG